AATTTGTTGGAAGATACAGATTGACTCTTGATAAAATCCAGGTTCCTGGGCGACCGTCTTCTACAACTTTACAGATCTGGGACAGAAGAATCATCTGAGACGGGGCCCCTACCGAAGGCCCTCTGTAACTAGTAGAACATTATCAAACATTTCTCCTTTCCTCTTGTCCTCTTTCCTACTTCGCCATCCCGTCTGCTCAATGTTTTTATAGATGTCTCAGTTGCCCTCCTCCTTAATCAGATTCTAGATGATATCAGTGTTTTCGAAGGCTAAAAGTCAAAAATCAGAAATGTATCCATCATGTAAAAAAAAAAAAAATCAATAGCATCAGTATATTTTAAAGGCGTCAGTTTATCACTCAATTGAAAGTCAATCAATATTTAAATCAATCATATGATTAAATCTATATAAAGACTTACGTTTTATACAGTTACTTTTTATTTCTTCTACAACTGTACATCATGACATAATTTAAAGTGCTTCCACGTCAGTGAATCAAGCCCTAATATCTGATTGCTTAACCTGAGCAGAAACTCGGCGGCACCCCAGTCACCTTTTCTACATCAGTATTCTGAGAGGTTTTCATGTCTTATGCTAAGAGATCAAATAAATTTATGATGTGCTGCTGCACATGACTGTTACAATAATCAAGAAAAATTACTCATGTTAAATTAAAAATAATGATTTTCATAATAGTTCTTAAATAAGATAGAGATATTGTGTGTCACATCCAGTTTTATTGAAATTTTGATATGTAATAAATATGTATTTTGTGATTTTCAAATTAGGATTTTTAGGTACCTGCTGCTGTGAAATTTTAGATTTTAGCACCAAATGTTGTGCCCCAAATTTTTTATTAAAGCAGTCTCCTATTTTCTTAGCTAGCCGAGGCTCTGCGCAGCAGCAGCTCTACACTTTGCTTTCTAACGAGGGTTTGGACAATTTCTTAGAAGCAATTGCTTGGTGGAGGGATGTACTCTTTAAGTTGTAAATGAACATAAGTGCTGAGCCGAATGACATCTTCTCCAGCTGTAAAATGTCCTCAAACATTCGTCTTGCGCCGACTTTAATTGCTCAGTATTTGGAATCGTGACGAACGCAGACAGAATGGCTTCACTCACTTCCTCCGCTGCCACAACCATGACGGACTACGATTCAAAAACAGCGCAGAAACTCAGCGTCCTTGTTCACAGCTCTTTCTTCTGTTCGCTGATTAAATGAATCCTGAGAAATTGAGCTCATTGAGATAAATCCCAGACAGAGCACTGAAGAGAGATAAAAGTCAGACGAAACTGGCAACGGTCAAGTTACTATGCAGAGAAGTAACATTTTATGGACCGGTCACAAACCTAAAGTTGCAGGTAGAGACGGGAAAATAAACAGCCGAATCCTATCGCCCCATTTTGGGTCAGGCCAACAGGATCTCCTCCTCTCAACTGCCGTGGTAATCTTTTGAGAAACACGCCTTTAACTTTTCTGTTTGCTCTCCTGCTTCGCTTTAGCACACTCATTACAGCTATACCTCTCAGCCGTCTTGTCTCATCTGAAGTCTTTTAGGTAAAGGTGGTCATTAATGACTGTACTGTTTCTTAGTTTGCTTTAGATTGCTGTTACTCTTTGAGGCATTTTCACTGCTGCGCCTGGGCAGAGGATTTAATCCTAAACACCACTTTTGTGTTTGGGACTGGGGTTTTCTTGACCACAACTTCAGGAAGAATTAGGAAAAACATTATACAAAGAGCCCAGCTACAAAACCCACCTCAAAAGAAAATTAGCTTTGCTTTACATCAAAAATTACCTCAGAAAATTGCTGCTAGGGCTATTTTTCATCAGAAAGAACAGGCTGCCAATCTGTGAGGGTTGCTTTGAAAAGGCTTCAGGCTTTCTAAAACTTTCCACCTCTCCCCCTTGACACTCTCCTCCCAATTACAGAATAGAGGTGGGTGATCTCGCAATATTGGATAATAAAGGAATTAGAATGTGTTGATGATCTGTCAAAGCAGAGAGTGTGAAACTGATTCTGTGGTCTTAATCAGACCAGTCAGTTTTTATTTCTTCCCCTTTCCTTCAACTAAAACTAAATACAGATATGTTTTAAAGGGCATGTAACTGCTTACTGCACTATTGGTATTTTATTAATATTTTTATTATTATCCATTGGACTCATCTTCTCAGAAGTGCTAATAAAGACACTTAGCAGCTGTTGCAAAAATGACTGAACACTTGGATAAACGTTTACTTTTTTTCCAGAATAGTCTAGTTTGCTACCAACTTGACTGACTTAGCTAAAGATCAGTATTGCATCTGGGGTGTGTATATACTCAGCCAAAGCAGCAACAGTAGTTTCAGCTTGTTTGCTGATGATTTTCGTAATAATTTCAATACAATCTTTTCTGATTAAGATTTATTTAGAAGTGCACTTTGGCCTAAGTGTTCCAAACATTTTTAATAGCTATGCTTTCTTATAAGGGAAATCATGATTAAGTGACGATTTTGGTGCCATATTGCCCATCCATACTAAGCAGTTGTGATATCACTAACGCAGAACTTGCTCAGTACAACCAGCACAACCAGTGTGAGTGCATCTGCATAGAGGGTATGTGGGATTTTGTAACTTGTAATGACAAACAGAAACCACTTTTTACTAAGAAAAACATCTTATGAAATCCCAAACTAAATTCTGTGGGATGTATTTTGGAGAAGATTAGATAACTGGTGGTATTTAATATTTTTCTGATGAATTCTTGTTCTGATTATTGGGCAAATCTGGAGGATCATTTGTCTGAAAATATGGCAACGAGTAGTACCTACAATCACACAACTTGTTATAGTCCATGTCTATTCTCATCCAAGGCTGTGGGGCTAATACCAGTTCAGCCAATCTTTATTCACTCCAATGAATAAGGATTGGAATCCAAATGTCCTCTAAGAAATTTATTCTAACAATTCAGCCATGATTTATTGACGATATAGCCAACAAGAATAATAAAGAGATTGCACAACCGTCAGTGCATTTACATTTTTGAACAGCAAACATTAAACTCCAATTATTGTCTCAAAAGTTGAAATATTGACCGTCAGAGCAAACAGAATTATAGTAGAGCACCAAGTCTTTCCATAAATGTTACATACAAGCTAAAAATAAGTTTTAAAACTTCCTACTTTCAAAAAAAATTAATAAATAAAATCTAAAACATTGACAAGTACTGACTCTTCCTGCCTGTAGGTGGAGCACATCAACAAGACAACTCTGCCATCACACCTCTTTGCAAGGCTTCTCCTGGTTCCTCCTTCCTAAAATTAGCACAACTCAAACTAGAACCTGCTCCGCTCTGCCCTTTGGCACAACGTAGTCTCGGCAGTTCTTCAGAAAATATGTAATTTTCTTAGGCTAATTACTCAATTATGTTTTAATTTACTTTTCTCAGTAATCACTTTTATGATCACTACTAATTATGGAACCCACACATCTGCAATTAGTCAATATAAGGTGTGCAACTGTGTTAATCTCTTTCTGCAGCCCGGTCACATGTGAGGTCTCAAGTAGCACAAAGCCCAATGTGAAGCACATGTGACTGTATTAACCTTTCTGAGCTACTCTGCGGCAGTCACTGAGGACAAAAAGGAGGAAAAGATTAGAGATCGAAAGTTAGAGACAGCTTCAAAAGCTTTTTTTGACAAAATAAAAACTCAGGAAAGAAATTGCTCCATTTCTCATATAATTTGCTGCCCCTCTGAAACTCCAAAGTTTCAGCTCTTGTATGATTTTGTTTTGTCACAGAGAACAGAGACGTTTCATGAGCAGGAGTTCGGATTTGGCAGTGAACTGTCAAGTGATTCACGCTGTAGCAGAGATCACAGTGCGGCACCCCATGTGACTTAAAAACCTACACAAAGACCAGAGAGACTCATACTGACATATTCCTCTACAAACACCGAGGATGGGTCTTTATTATTTTCTAAATTCAAAACATTGAGTGTGCGTGCAGAGATGCCTGGAAGAAAAAAAAAAAACAAACAAAACATCATAAACTGGTGGGTTGATAAATCTGATCTGGGTTTATAGTTGTGTAAGGCACATTTTTAGCAGGAGAATAAATGGTGCCTCTGGTCAGGATCAACTGATTTCAGGGAAAACACAATAGAATAAATAACCCTCATAAAGGGTGGAATTATTAAGCAGATTACAGAGCGACTATAGCACATGTTGACTACAAGGGTAGACTGATTTGATGAAACAAACAGAAGAAAATATCTCCATTTCACCTCATGTCTGCACCTGGAGTAAAAAGGTAAAAAAAAGTATTAAACTGTCATATCCCCAGCATTTAATCCATTGTGACAACAGAATTAATAGAAAACTACCGTCTAAAGCTATTAAGTCTGATTTCCCCGAATGAAGAGATCTAATTGTGTTCAGTACAAAACGCTCTATTCACTTTATCGCTGTTGATGACTTTTGGGATTTAGTGCAACAATAACTATTTTAACAGAATCCAGCGAGTCTGACATTTAAAGACAGAATGTGAAATGTGTCACATTTAATAACTAAAAGTAATCTGGTGGTTTTGACCAAGAAGATTTCAAAACGGCGGGGAGGTTTAATTGTAAGAGATTTATTGTTAGAAATAAGGCCAAATCTAGCCCTTGCATTCAGGTTGGTCTCATTATAAATAATATAAATTAACTGTTGTACAAAATGGTACCAAGTGATTTTCCATTGCCCCCAACTATACAACACTTCTGACAGTGCATACTTTTCTCACAGAGATCCCAATTTATCCAGCACATGCTTCACATTGTGATGCAGCCCATCACAAGCAACAGCAACTCGCACAGGAACAACATTAAATGTTTCTTTTTACCACAGATAATGCATCACATTTAGAAGTCCATCCAGTCTCACTAAGGAGTGGCTGTTTCAGACACAATACTTTGGACACACATGTGAGCTTAGTGTAAGAAATGAACCTAAAAAAAAAAAACAGATGTGACTCATATCCACAAATGTGGGTCACCCCCTTTCTTTTGAGTTATTTCAACTTTTTCCAGATGTATGGCAGTTTTTTTGTCTTTCGCACTCTCTGCTCCTATCTCAGGCCCCGGTAGCCGCTTAACCCTACATTTCACAGCTCTACTATAATTGCTCCTCGTAAGTGTGCTGCGTGTGTGACATGTTGCCGATGCTTCGCTGCGGCCCTTGTAGGAGTCTCAAAGGCATTTGACAGTTCAGTGCTACTTCATGTAGAGCCACTTGGTGCTACGACAGAACTCACCGTGGCAATATTTGACATGGAAATATCTGTTTTTTTCACCCTCCCTCATATCTTTGTCACCTGCGAATGTTGTAGTCCACCCATACTTTGTGTGGTTTCTACCGGTGAACAGGCTAACACCTAACATTTGGGTATTCCTTTCAACAGCAGGAGGAAGTTGACAATTCTTTGGAAAGACTTGGATGTTTAGCAGTGTATGTTTTTGGACAACATGAGGCACTCCATACTGAAGGGATTCCTGGTGGTTTTGCTAACACAACACAGCACATCTGAAGGTAGGCTGATATTATAAAACATGCTCTGATACAATGACCATGTAATTGTAATCTGTGGTGACTGCACAGGGATTCGAAGTCTAAATGAGGGAAAAGGTAAGTGAGATTATGTCTTGTGAAAGGAGGAAATTCAATTTTTTTCTCAATTAAAGAGAACACCTACAGAACTGCAGGCGTTCCTTGCCTCAGTTTAGGTTACGGTTTAAGGTTCAGCAATAAGAAAGAAACTCAACTAAGATGAAAAACCTTAAGGTCAAAACCACTGCTGTGCAAAAAGAACACAAAGTTCCACCTTACAGTATTGGAAAGTATTCTGTGGACTCATGAGACAAAAAAGGTTTTGGTTCCTTTAAATCTGCTGTAAAACCAACACTTTCAAGGAACTTCATACAGTGAGGCGCATGGTGATAGTAGTGTGATTTTCTGAGGCATCACTGCTGCCTCAGAACAATGAGCGCTTTCTGAAATCATTTTAAAAGCGCATTTTGTATTTCCTCAAGTTACATTTGTCTAAGATAAACATTTGTTTATTCTGAAACAATCTCTCAGAAGATGCAAATGGTAAAACCGCAGTTCCACCAACCCATAAATGTGTTTATCATTTCATCAATAACTTTATAAATACAGAGCATCACAAACTATAGATTTTGCTTATCCAAAACACATAAAATGCTTGGCTATATATTTTCAGGCATGTCTGCCCCCATTCAGTTCCCAACTGAGGCTGCCTATCAAGATGGCCAGACCTTTCTCCAGGAACCAGAAATTGTGCCTTTAGTGTCCACTACCAGCTTGAAGGACGTTCAGCAGGCAATGCAAGAAGCCTCAGAGCAAGTGAAGGGCCGTGGAGCAGGAGAAGTGTTAAAAGAACTGCTTGAGAGGGTGGTAGAGGCAGCTCTGGGTCAGGTGGAAGCAGCTGTTCAAGCAAAAGATATGGCTGTGGAGAAGGAAGGGGTAGAAGAAGATGCTCAGGGAGAGAGTGAAGCTGAGGGAGAATCTGAAACATTGGAACCACTCCAAGACGGGACGAATATGACTCTTGAGATAGGAGATAATGGTTTTGAGAAGAGTGAGGTAGAAGCAAGGGTGGATACATTTATAAATGTAGCTGGAGGGGGTAAAGAAGTTGTCAAGGAAGAATGGGGAAAAGGAGCTGGATCTGTTGAAGAGACGACAGACAGAGCAGCAGTGAGTTTGGAGGTCACCGGTGAGTCATTATTGGAAACTATATTAACTCAAGAGGCTGTGGATGGAGCCTTAGAGGAGACAGAAGGGGATTTAGAGGCTGCGAAGAAGGACAGCGAGGAGCAGGTTGTGTTGATAGTTCTAAAGAATGCCACTGAAAGAGAAACACAGGATGGAGAGGAAACACCAGCTACTGTGGAGGTGGCAGTGGGCGTACAGCCAGAGCAGGAAAAAGAGGAAGAATCTAAAGCTGGCCTTGAAATGGCTGATGAAGAACAGATAGAGAATAGCAGGAGAAAGGAAGCAGCTCTGCTTGAGTTAAGTCACACAGACCACACAGATGGAGAGAAAGCATTACTTCATCCTAATGATCATGTAATACAAATAAAATCCGTCTTTGGAGAACCGATAAAAGAGGAGAGAGCGGCCAGGAGAGAGGAGAACATGGACGGACTAGAAAAACCTGACGACAGTGGCTTAGTGGAGACAGAAAAGACAGAAGCAGAAGGTACAGATTTAAGGACAGTAACAGTAGAGGCAAAATATGGTGAGGTTGTAATCAAGGAAGGATCAGTGGCACTGGCGGTTGAAGGAGGTGACAATGCTGGAGAGGAGGAGCAAATTGCTTTGGAGGATTCAGAGGACAATAAAGAGGATCAAGGTGAGATATGTGCAGCTGCCATGAAGAAATTTGTAAAAGTGGAATCAAAGCCCAACAAGAGATCCAAAATCTTTAGACATGTTTTAAACTGACCAAATGTCCTTACTTTAATTTGTATTGCATTTTTTCCATTGATATCTAGAATTTTCAGACTGTAAACATGAAAACCATTTTTTTAATTTTTCCTTCCACTTTATAATTATGAGCTACTTTATTTTACGCCGTCACATAAAAGCTTGGGTATGACCACTTTTACAAGACGCTGTAGTTCCCTCCTATTAGCAAAATGTTTGCCTTTTGGCGTAATGTTTTGTATGTCATATTACACATCTTCTCGTTTAAGCGGCAATGGTGATCCCTGGTCCACAATCTGAAGAGAGTAAGAAAGACTTCACAGAAAAGAGACCTGAAAACCAGCCCTCTGCTCCAAACCCATCATTTGGTGCTGGTACAACTGAAGATAATACGCTCATTGAGGTGAAATCCAACCATCAGAGCAGTGCAATCACCTCAAATCCTGGATTTTTGCCACACAACCGTGGCAGAATCCAACCCACACTAGATAAGTTTGAGAACAATGTTTTTGCTGAATATCATCAGGAAGAAGGAGAGAAACCAAATGGAATCAGGGACGCAGTGGAAGTTACACCTGGAAAAACAGGTAATATGGCGGAAAAAGAGTGCAAGCATACTACACTTACTGCGAAGAAATTTGAGGCCCATTCACAATATGGCTCCCATCATAAAAAGAAAAAAAAATCTATATTTAATACATACTTTTTTTTTACCACCTCCAAGTAGACTAGATTTACATAACCCAAAAGTGGAAAAAAAAATCCTTTTCATAAAATAAGGTCATTTTATTTCTTTTTTTAAATATCAATATTAAAAAAAAAGAGAACTCCAGTTTATCTGTTTGTTTAAAGCAGCATGTTTATTGATTCATTTAATTCAGTTCCTCCTTCTGTTTCTCTTTCCTTGTCTTTTGTTGGTAATATATTTGTTTAGATAAGAATGAGCAAGGCCTTGAGGCATGGAAGACCGGGGCTATTTTTACTGCAGTCTTCTTGGTTTTGGAGACCGTCGTCATCATTATCTACGTCCTCAAATGTCGGAACAAGAAAAGGTAAGTGGTGAAGTTTCTGCGCATCAAGGATTGCAGAAAAGCTTAATAAAAGCCAGAAAAGAAAAAAAATCAATGTAAGTGAAACAGGAATTGCCTCAGAGTGAGTGACCTCTGACTGACTAATAATTCTACATTAGCACCACTACTAAATACATCTAAGCACTCATTTTCTTAAAGCTGAAACTAGCAGTCTGATAGCTAGCTGTAGAACCAACAGGCCCACAATCACAGATGGGACTCACAGCAGTGCTGGTACAGAATTGCCTCTGATGTTGCCCAAGCTGCAGTTAACATTTCAACACTGACGGATGACGAAATGAGGAGAATGTGCTTTGTGTTGGCTCTGGATCTCCTCTTATGTTCACAAAATGATTTCTTTTTTATCTTTATTGGGATGTTTTATAGCTTTCCAGCACTTGTCCAAATGCTTCAGAGCAATGCCTTGCTCATTTGCAAAAGGGCAACAGGAAGAGAACATGACAGTGATAAAGAGACATTGTTCATGTGCTTCTTGTGTGAGCAGCACACCAGCAGCCGTGCAGCGGGCTTGTGAGGAAGCGTGTGTTGAACCAGAGACAGAGATGGGAGGCGACTGCAGTGACGACACTCTGACAGAAGACAATGAAAACTCTCAAGAGTACGTTTACTCACGAAGATGTTTGGAATGGTGGAAAAGATGTGTAAAGTGCATATAGTTTGAATGAAAGCACAGTTTATATTTTCTTTTCTTTGTCAGAAAATGTTTGGAAAAGGGCATTGAGGGTATTTTGAATTCTTTAGTGTAAACAATTATTTTTCTCAGTTGATCCTTAGATTGCCATTAAACTTATCAAGAAGAACGCTATGACTAAAAAAACAGATTCAATTTATTACATTTTCAGGAGGCATGTTATTGTATTCTCATGTTATAGCCATATGTTTATACAGAGATTAATCAGATTAGTTCTAATACGGTTAGTGATATACCCTGGACAATGTTTAATATTGTGCACATATGTGAAATCAGGTTATTGCATCTTTTTTTGTTTTCAAATGTCCCCCAAACACATTGGTACAGGATGTGTGTCATTTAGAAGTTTAAAAGATGATTTTGGGAAGATTTTTCACCAGCTTTGTATTCTTTTACGATTCATTGTATCATAAAAAAAAAAAAGTTTAACTCATTATCAACTAGACCAGCCAAATGTCAGATATTCAGACCGTCAGCTGACCAAATATCACGCTATGAACCTGTGGCTCCAAGACACAACCAGCTGTGTGCTTCTCAGCTGATTACCTCTGGGGAATTTTGTGGCCGGCATGCTCAGGATTCTGCTCTTAGCATCACATAAAAGACTGAAAGCGCGAAACAAGAGCTTTACTGGGTAATGGAGGTAGCAGTTTTGGATCAGTAACAGACTGAAGATGTTGATGGAAAGAAAGTTGAAAATGTGAAATGTTTGGCTAGTAACGTAAAAGAAAACGGCAATCTTGAATTTAAATGAATATTGAACACCAGAGCTATCACAAAACAGGTTCTTGTGACGTGACATAATCTGATAATTTGCAGAAAAGTTGTCATTATAAAATTACTTTACTATAATTAGTGTCAACAAACTGCAGAAGCTACTGTAAAAAGCGTTGTACAAGTTCTATTTTGGGGAAGGGAATGATCTCAAAATGAAAAAAAAATGCTGTTTATACATGCTATGATGCAAGATAGCGTGATGCAAATTAAGCTGTAATTCAGAAACAGTAAGAACTGTGACAAGAGAAGCAGGTTTTCCAGAAAAAAAAAAAGATGAATATTTTTCTACTCTAAATGCTCAATGTGGAGGGTAGAAAATGCACGCTAAAGCTCAGAAACGCTCTGCAGTAAGGGAAACTCGGCAAAAGGCAATAAAGCAAGCTTATATTATTAATGTTAACACTGTGCAGTGTGCACAACGATTTATTTTAATCCAATGGGCACTGCATAATGTAAACATTTACGTCTTAATCTAAATGTTAGAGGCAGCAGTGCTGTTCAACCAAAGAGATCACAACTAGAGTCAGATGGGTCTTCAGTTGATGTTTAAAAACCAAAATGACTACAGATAACTATTGACATTAAAATGACAAATTACATTGCTGCTGATCTATTGGAGTATTTGGTGTGGTTTTATTATTTTAAAAGCCAGACGAAATCTGTACTCTGGTAGAAAATAATGGCTTTTAAGGTGTCTGTATGGATCAAATTATAAAAAGGAGCAAAAAAAAGGCAACAAAAAATTTCAACATCATACCTTTTGACAACTATTTAAGAGACATCATAAATTACAATCCACTTCAGTAAAATATTAATGATCAAAGAATGCAAAATGTATCAATATTTTGCTTCTTCCTGTATTCCACCATTGCTCTGCATTTTGTATTTAGCAAAGACTTGGCAGTCAGAGGTGGGTTTACCTGGAACAACCTTCTCCGACGTTGACTGATGCATAACCCTCAGGCAGCACAGCTGAATTTACAATCTCATTGCTCCAGAATAGGCAGGCTGTAGCAGTAAGCGTGGCACATGTAAATATGTGCAAAGTAGCTGTCCAAGTGGTAAGGAAATAACAACTCACTTATAGTATCTATGCCTCAAAACATTGCTTCATCTAAAGCAAATGAAGCATAGGGTCAGGCTTCTCACTGAAAAATTACAAAAGACAGTGAAGGCTTTAAACCTTGAAGTGGTTTAACTGGCAACATTCAGTCAATTTCTGTTTTACTTAGATTAATCTTTTTTTTTTTGGGGGGGGGGGGGGGGTAGGGGGGCTTGTACAAAATTTCTGCAAACAATTTCTGAAATTTCACTAGACGTGATGATAAGTAGTTAAGAGGTGCGTGTTCAAAATACATTCATCCAGTTCTGAAACTATTTTGCCTAGGACAGCATCACCTACAATTAGTCCATAATGTCAAGTTATTTATTTATATCTGGATGTCATTATCTCCCAGTGTGTCTCATTTGAGCTGTGTGTCTCCATCTGGTGTGCAAGCCATTAAATCAACAGCCCTTCCTATGACAATATTAACATTTCCTCTCAGCAGGATATTAAACAGCAATCCAACAGCCTTCATAAAAAAAAGAGAGAAAATATTAATTTTCTCTGTTAGTTTTTCTGTCACCCCAACATTTGTAAAAAAAAAAGTCTTTGTTTTTATCTAAAAAAAAAAAATAAAAATCCTGATCTATATCTTATATAATGTGTCTTCTAAAAGCCACATAATGCACTCACATTCAACTGTTTTTACCTCCAAGTTTCCTAACTTTTTTTTAATTTTTAAAGAAAAGTATTTCCACGCAAGTGTTCAATCTCTCCCAACTCTCCTTTTTTGCCAGGATAACCAGACTCGACCCATCTGATGTGGCTTCAGCCTTGGCCATAGAAAGGGAAAAGCAAAGCGATGAAGATGTAGTAGCCATGTCAAACTGTTCACGAAGCTCCACAGAGATGCCGCCCAGCCCAGGATCAGACTCTTTACAAGACATCAGGACTTCCATATAAGACACCCGTCTCTTTCCTTTTGCTTTAACTGAATAAAAACCAAAGAGCCATTTTCTACCCAACTGCTTTCCAAACAGCGTAAACCCATCATTTGGGTTCAACAAGTATTCCATCATTATATTGATTTCTGATATTGATAACTGTCATATATCTGTGTGTGCAATGGAAACTAAAGACATAACAAAAATGTGGGTGAACAGAAAAAATATGCTTTTATACCGTTGGGCTCAAGCCCGTTCTTTTGTACATGCAAAAAAGAACTGTGACTGACAAAATACCCAGAAAGTAGGTTGACATCTATAATGTTTTGCTTTGAATTACATATAAATGTTTTTAGTACTGTAATGCTAAACGATGCTACCAAAACATAAATGGCATCTCACTAAGATAAAAAAAAAAAAAAAAAAATAGCATCTTCACACATTTTGATACTTGGTTGAATTCATATTCTACACTGTATTATTGAGATGATAGATTTTATTGAGTCCAGCCCTTCAGGCTTTCCCTTAGAGGGGATTTTGTACACATGTACTACCAATAATTTACTCCCAGTCATCTGTCTAACTCAACTCATAAGAAGTCTTTTTTTTTTACTTTTCTGATATTAAAAAAAAGAAAACAAAGAATTTTTGTGTGCACAGCTTCACCAGGAATGCCTTCTCACTGCATTTTTCTGCGAGTGATCACACAAAGTGCCGTCTTTGGAGCTATGATCACAAGGCATGTGAATAAACATTGAAAAGTAAAAAAAAAAAAAATATATCTCTACTGTTTAGATATCCTCAAGTGTTGTGTGCAGCCTGCTTTGTGCAGCACGGCACTCGTGGATGTGTGCTAGCAGGCTGGCTCCAGTTCTGCAAAAGTCCGGTCATGTGTCCAAAGCTATTTAAGATGAATCAGAGAAATGGGCTGATTCTTTGGGGGTAGGGTCACAATTTTGCAAACAGAGGAGCAGCATGCATCATCAGAGGTAGGGGTCCACGTTATGTTATCTGCTTTTTTTTTTTCTAAAGTACTATAATCAACTAAACATCTTACCTTTTAATAAAATGAATGACCGCTTCAACGCCTTGGCAATCACTATGAGACTATGCTGTATGGAGATTAGAGACTACCAAGACATAAAGATGTAAACCATCACCATTTTGTTTTCATTGGTAATTTCCTTGAGATCTTATTATCTCCGTTTGCTGCTCCAAAGTCATTAGTCACTCCATTCATTCCTAATCTACAAGCTTCAAAAGACAAGCAAATCCAACTACAAAAAGAAAGAGGGAGGAAATCATCTCTCACAAGCTACTGTTGAAAAGCGTTTGAGCTTGTTACGTTGGAAGGCTAATGGGATTGTGAATTATGAATAATGACTTTCACTGCCAGCTGGGGCGTCTATGAAGTTAAGGTTTGATGATTATGTTGAGTCAACTGGCTTCAACAAAAGAATGCATACCCACTGTGTTGTTGTGGAGCTAATGTGGAGTGTGTGTCAGTTTAGTGTTGAATAGCTTTTTTTTTTTGCCTCAAACCTTCATCTGTGATGAAGGTTTTTAAAAGGTATGAAGCATCATAATCTCAGTATTTAAAATGTCTGAAGTAACTTTGTCTTTTCTTTCTAATCTGTTGCAAATTGAACTGGAATGTGTTAGCGTGTGGATTGCGGGTCCACTGGTGGTGACCTTGTGTGCCAGCCTCGCTTGGGCCCAGTTTCCTCGAGAGTGCATCACTCCCGAGGGGCTGCGGAGCGGCCAGTGTTGTCCATCTCCTGCGGGTGTAGCGGGGGATGAATGTGGCTCCAGCACAGGAAGAGGGCAATGTGTGACAATTGCTGCCGACAGTCGTCGCCACGGGCCTCAGTACCCGTACGCAGGCCGTGATGACAGGGAGAGGTGGCCCCTGAGATTCTTCAACCGCACCTGCCAGTGTAATGGCAACTTCAGCGGCTACAACTGCGGACGCTGCAGGCACGGTTTGACTGGGCCAAACTGTGATCAGAGGATCTCTGTAGGTAAGAAAATGGATTCTGTTTTAGTCTTTAAAATTCAAGACAATGCAGTGTGCCCTGGTACGCCCTTTAGAACTTCACAAGTCAATCACATCCGCTTCTGGGATTAAGAGAGCATTTTATCATCTGGAGATAAAGAATACAAATGGTAAATGTTATTAACATTTACTTTTCTGTCTCTCTCCATCTCCCCCTCTCTCTGTTCTGCCAACCTGACTCTAGTGAGGAGGAATGTCATGCAGATGAGCACAGCTGAGAAGCAGGCTTTTGTAAATGCCCTAGACCAAGCTAAAAAGACAGTTCATCCTGACCTGGTCATCTGCACAAGAAGGTATGTCATAGTTTTATGACATTAAGAGTTTAGTCACACGTACAAGATTTCAAAGGAGAAAAAATATTTGGATTAGCATGAAAGAACAGAAAAGGGAAGAGATTCTCGTGATGCTGGAAGGCAAACAATTATTAGCCACACCCCCAGATTAGCTCTACTATACATTAGCAGATATTAAATGTCTGCACTTTTACAGACATTTAAATGCGACTCTGTATTCCTAACCAACTTCTGGTTGAAGTGAAATTATAAGAATGCTGCCAGCTATATCAATTAGCCTGATGAGCAAATCGTCTGTATGGAAAATTCCCAAAGAACCACGGATAACCTTTAAAATCTCAGGAACGTATTGTGTTTCATTTTGTAAAAGGACTGCTTGTCACTAAATCGAAAAGTTTGTTCAAGTCCTGGCACATTTAGAGCACACCGACTCTAGTGAGGAAGAATGTGAGGAATAAGTTATATTAACTGATGAGCTAAAGGTAATACAGTTGACAGCTTTAGCTAGCAAGCATAAATTAAGCTATTGCTTGGCTGAGAAAACAGCAATGAAACTAAAAATAAAGCGAATAGCTTTTAAAATTTCTTGTGGGTACCAAAATGTCTTTGTCTCCCCGTGAAAAAGCTTAGATGTTCATGAGGCATCATCTGATGCCTCATGAACTCGAGTGAACTGTGTTCCTCACATGTCTTAGGTACCAGGAAGTGTTAGGACCCGATGGCAACACCCCGCAGTTTCAGAATGTCACCATTTACAACTATTTTGTTTGGAGCCACTACTACTCTGTCAGTAAGACATACCTTGGGCCGGGCCAGGCAAGTTTTGGAGGTGTGGACTTCTCACATGAAGGTCCAGGTTTTGTCACCTGGCATCGATTTCATCTGCTGCAATTGGAGAGAGACATGCAGGTAAGAAGGAGAAAGTGGGGATGTTAGGGTGTGTACAGGGGTTGATATTGCAGTGTGACTTGACACACTGATTTTACAAATGGCTGAGTTTAGCCATTTGTAAATGGTAACATAAGATATCAGGACATTATTCAGAAGAAGTCTTTCTGGGTTTCCCACCACCAGCAGTTTAATTCTAAAGATTAGATTACAATACAAGTGGCATACCAGCTAGCATGCTATAACATGCTAGCTGCTGTACACCAGCTAACGTGTTCTACTATGCTAGCTGGTATATAATGCTAGCTGTAAATGTTACAAAAAACACATGCTTCCCTGTGTATACCAAAAGAAGGCAGACATTTAACTTGACAAGGAATCCCCCTCCCCTTCCCCCTAAAAAAGCCAACACTTTTTAAACCAACACATTCAGTGACAAAGGCTGAAAGGTCAAAAGGACAAAACAAAGCAAAAATGCACCTGATATCAGCTTAAATTCTCCCACCGTTTATTGTTACGAAACTTGAGAGTTCTTGTTGTTTGTTGTAGAAAATAATTTCCTATCAAATAGTTTCAACATCTCTATTTCCTCATATCAGTTTTAAACATCTTGTTTTCCACTTAGCAAGTTAGTAAAGAGTGTTATTCTCATCATAATGTAGTAGTGCTAAGTAATGACTTTTAACTAAAGTCTTATGGGGTTTAGAGTCCCAGTTGACGGCGTTTCAACTAAAAACCTAGAGGTTGGAGTCCTTGTCAAACGGTGTTTTTGACTAAAGTCCCAGAGGGTTAGAGCCCCAGTTAAACGACAGTTAACTGACGTACTAAAAGAGGTGCGTGTTTTAATGTTTTTATCTTTTTTAATCTTTTTCAAAATGTCTTTCTCTTTCTCACTGTTTATTCAATGTCACATGCTGTTTTTATTTTAATTATAAGAAGCACTTTGAAATGCCTTGCTGCAGAAACGTGCTATACAAATAAAATTTGTATAGCACTAACCAGTTTGGATTTTTTTTTTTTCTTGACTGGTTGGTCATTAGTGAAGGCCATAAATGTCAGCCAACTTCTCAAGATTATACTGTATATTCAACATAAAAAAAATTATTATACACAATAGTATTAATCATTTAATCCACCCATCCATAATTTTACCCTCGTCAACTGAGCAGGATATGCTGGGTGATCCCACCTTTGCTCTACCATACTGGAACTTTGCCATCGGCGGCAGCGAATGTGACATCTGCACCGACGACCTGCTGGGAGCGAGGAGTGCCTTCGACATGAACTCCATCAGCCCCAACTCCGTGTTCTCTCAGTGGAGAGTCATCTGCGAGAGCGTGGAGGACTACGACGCACTGGGCACCATCTGCAACAGTAAAAAGCCAGTTACACCGCAGTTACACCGCACCAGACACTCGCCTTCGCCGCTCGCCTCGCCGTGAAGGCGAGCGGTGCTGCTGATGTACAACATCGTCTCAGCTGCATCTAAAAAAGAGGGCAAAAAGCTTGTAAAGAGAGCATGTAGAACATAAGCTGCTATAAATAATACCTCACAGCTGTTGTGCTAAACTCAATACTGCTGGCTATTAACAGTTTGTTTGAAACTACTCTGGTTGTCAGAGTTTGCCTTCTGGGCTGCACTAGAGCACACAGAGTTTGAAATATTCCCCCACTAGAGGAGAATGCCGCTTCCTGAAATTTTCATGTTTTCCTCAATAGGTCACGCGACTTAGGATGGAATAAAAGACTTTTGTGACTTAAAGCTGCATGAGCTGCTAAAAGTGACTGAACGTATTGGGATCAGCTCTCATTCCAGGAGATTAGTCACGTTCTTTGCTTTTTTTTTTTAAGTTTTCTTTTTGTATGGGATTGAGTCACATCTCGTTTTGTCAAAACACATAAAGGCGTGGGGGTGACTGAAGTAGTTAAAAACACACGTGATCGATGTACGAGTGTTCATTCTTTTCCGTGGAGAGTCTTGACAGGTCGGGTAATTCCCGCACTAACAAGCAACTGCTCCTTAAATGGGTTGGGGGAGGAGGGTGGCAATGGGGGTTGCCTCATTTGTGCATCTGCTTGTTGAAGACAGGAATCTAGCAAGTCTACAGTTCCTTTGATCTCAGGGAATAATCTTCAAACACACATAACCCATTTATGTAGCCCCCCTGCTCGCATGTAGGAGAGAAAAGAAAGGCGCAGATCACGAGTGCAGGAGAGAGAAGAAAGAAGAAAACTTCTGTTCTAAAGCCCCCACACACTACCGTTGAGTCCGATTGAAATAAATTTATCTGCCATCCTGTCATGTCTAAGACTGATCTTACTGCTACAATGTACCACATAGAAGTAGACGGTAAATGATATCCAGCTGTGCTCTTACGTTTACACACCCTGGTA